ACATGTTCAAAAACCCAGTCAAATGTGTAGAGTCTAGTAATTAGGTTGTTAAGCCTAAGTTAATGTCCCAAGGCTACCAAGAGGGGGGTGAATTGGTAGTTTAAAAAAAATTTAAACCCTCTTTTTAAAATTATGTTGAACCGAAATGAAAATGTTTCTTTTAAGTTTTTGTAGAAAAAATTTTATAACCACAGAGTTTTTAAGACTAAAATTAAAATGCGAAAATGTAAAAACAATAAAGTAAATGACACCAGATTTATAGTGGTTCGGTCTAAAACCAGACCTACATCCACTCCCTAGAGGCACCCTCTGAGTATTGCACTAATACCAATAGTGACTCTCCTTTTGCACCACATCAAAGGGGAGAAGCCTTATACAACACACTCTTTTCACCAGTCCCCGGTGCGGCAGAGAAACCGTCATCCTTTTATACAATCCCCAGTGTTGGCAGAGAACCGTCATCCTTTACACTACCTTGTGTGGGCAGAGAACCCTTCGGCTATTCACACTCTCCAAGTGTAGGCAGCGAACCCTTCGGCTATTCACACTGTCCAATGTAGGGCAGCGAAACTTCGTCTGTTCCACTCTCCAAGTGTCGGCAGAGAACCGGATCTCCTTGACATATCTTCTCAAAAGAATCTATAAGGAAGAAGGAAAAGAGTGAAGTAATCCCAATTCACAAGTAGAGATTCTTACCTTTGAACTCCAAGTGAAGCCTTCACGCTCCAATGGTAGGAATCCTCCCTTGAATGCACTCTTCCACTCTCTTCCTTGGCTACTCTCAAGAGCACGAAATCAAATGACAAAAAGATTGATGGTGGCAGTCTTAATTTGGACTATTTATAGAAACGACAAGAAAAAACCGCCCAAAATTGCAAGTTTTCAATTCTGTACGCAGTGGATCGTCCCGTACGATCGTGGATCGTCCTGGACGATTTTACTTAAACGATTTGAAACGACCCTATTTGTATATGTGTACGAAATTTCTTCGTACAGCTGATCGTCCTGTACGAACTTAGTTCGTCCGGTACGAACGGTTATTACTAGGTCAGTTCTAGAAACTGCTGAAAACTGTTCTAAGTCGGTTAATCGTTTGGACGAAAATTGATTCGTCTGGACGAAATTTTTACAGAGAAGAGATCGTCCTGGACGATTTTTAATTTCGACTGGACAAAAATTTTACAGAGGACCAATCGTCATGTTCAATAATTTAATCTGTTTGGACGAAAATTTATACAGAAACCAGATCATCCTAGACGATATTTAATTTAGTCTGGACAAAAATTTTACAGAGGACCAACTGCCATGAACGATAATTTAATTTCGTCTAGATGAAAATCTTACAGAGGCCAGATCGTCCTGGACGATAATTAATTTCGTCCTGGACGAATAGGACTTAGAAAATTTTTTAAGCAAGTTCCTATTCGTTCCATGTGCTCAATATGAGATAACTGTCTGATCGTCCCATACGAACGGATATCGTCCTGTACGATCAGTATAAATTTTATATGATCTTCTATGTGTGTGTGTATGTTTTATTCACTCAACTTACAATCACTCCCTTTCAATTTATTTCAAAGAAAAGTACAAGCTTCAAATTTCACAAAGCATCTCATGCTGAATTGATTTGAAAACTTCGTAGTCTAGAGTTCAATTTTCCTGAAATGTTAGTACACACTAGAGCAAAAAAAATCTTCTAAATTGTTAGGAGATAACTACACATTTAAACAATAAAGTTTGGAATCATCAAACTATACAAGTTGCAAAAATTATAAAGCATGCAAATAACAACTATTTTAACAATCTCCTCCTTTTGATGATGGCAAACAATTATTGTTTGTATGATTTCATTTAAACAAAAACTCCTAAACTCCCCCTGAATTTGATGAATACATGTTAATTTAAAATAATATTTTATTAGTATCGGACCTAATAATTTGCCAAGCAACGTACAGGGCATTTTAGAACCTAGTACAAAATGCACGAATTTTAAAGACAAACAAACCATACTAAAGGTAACAAAATAATTGTAGCAGACTTCAAAATTCAAGAGGTCGAAAGCTTCTATATTACATAAAAACTATGTAAGAATTCTTTTAAATAAAAGAGGAAGCGCACAGTATTTACATAACCAGAAGTCCTTAAGTATTTATATAGTTCAAATGATCAACCTTTTTAGTTACAATCCATAAATCATGAAAAAAAAAATGAGAGGGCTTCAGAAAAAAAAAAATTAAGAGAAAATCTATTTTCATCCACAGGCAAGCTATAAAATAGACAAATAAAGAAAGACAACATAATCTGAAGAAAAGAAAAGCCCCAAAGCTGCAACAAACGCATTCACAAAAGCATGATAATATAGCACACAAAATTGGAGACAAATCTTACTGGAATTGCAATGGAACTCCTTGGACATGACATTGGGAATGCAGTTCGTTAAAAGGAGCTCCATGGATCACTGTTCTTCTTGGGGGTATGGCTCTCCGAGGTCTTGAAGATCCCGGATCCGAAGGGGTCCGGATCGTCGAAGGAGAATCCATGATTATAATCAGCGGTGCTTTGGATCGAGTCGAATCTCGCTATGGTTTTGCGAGGAGATTCGGCTGTGCCGATCGTGGACTCAAATCTTGAAAACTCTCTTGGTGTGTCGGTCATGCTGCGGAAGGAATCGAATCTAGAGAAGGCATCATGCGATTGATCGGTTGTGCTGCGCATTGAGTCGAATCTTGCTAGGGTTCCGCTCGAGGGGAAGGTGCTGTCGTTCATGCCGAAAGAATCGAATCGACTGAAGGTATTGAAAGAGTGGTCATCTAGTCCTTCATTAAATTTGGGTGAGAAGCCAGAGTTGAAGAGAGGAGTGCTTGGAACTGAATCAAAGAATGGGCCTCTGTCTTTCCCAAAAACACTTGCTGCGCTAGGTGAATCTGCCCCAAGACCAAAGTCTCCAGGACCAGAAAAAGAGTCCAGCCTGCTACCAACATGAAAAGCTTCCTGCCAAAATAAGTTCATTCAATTAAAAATAAATAAATGGCATCTTCAAGCCTTCTTAAGATTGAATCACAAATACATTAATCTTGTTTTGATAAATCCTGCCAAACAGGAGTTAAGCAAGATTTACCTTGAATATTGCCAAATATAATTTTAATGAATCCCATTTTAACTCCATTTTTGTTTTGTTTTTTTTTGTTTATGTATAAGTTAGCCAAACAAAGAGATAGGAGTAGTAAGGATTTAGTTCAAGTGAAGTGTATTAAGGATGAAGATCAAAAAATACTTTTCTTAGAAGATGATATTCAACAAAGGTGGATGAGATATTTTGCTAAACTTTTTAATGAAGATTGTGATAATAAGATTGACTATAGTGACCTTAGCACCCTAGATGAAAATAAAGATTTATGTTTTTATCGGCGTATTAGTAAAACTGAAGTTAGAGAGGCTTTAAAGAAAATGAAGGGTGGAAAAGCTGTTGGACCTGATGATATTCCAATAGAGGTGTGGAAATGCTTAGGAGATGAAGGAATTTATTGGCTTACTAAACTTTTTAATACTATTTTGAAGACTAAAAAGATGCCAGATGAGTGAAGAATGAGTGTGTTAATTCCCATTTTTAAGAATAAAGGTTATGCACAAGATTGTGCGAATTATAGAGGTATTAAGTTAATGTGTCATACTTTAAAACTATGGGAGCGAGTTATGGAGCATTGGTTGCAGCGTGATACTAATGTTTCTCAATATCAATTTGGATTAATGCCAGATAGGTTGATTATGGAAGCCATACATTTATTAAGAGGTTTGATAGAGAAATATAGAGAAAATAAGGAGGATTTGCATATGATATTTATTGATTTAGAAAAAGCATATGATAAAGTTCCAAGAGAAGTGTTATGGAGAGTTATTGAAAAGAAAGGAGTTAATAATGCTTATATTCAAATCATTAAAGATATGATGCAGGAGCTATTACTTGTGTTCAAACACAAGGTGGTTTGACCAAGTATTTCCCTATTTCAAGGATCAGCCTTAAGCCCATATCTTTTTTCTTTAATCATGGATGTTCTCACTAGACATTTGCAAGAGGATGTACCTTGGTGTATGCTTTTTGCTGATGATATTCTTCTTGTTGATAAGACTAGAGAGGGAGTTGAAGGCAAACTTGAATTATGGAGGTCAACCTTAGAGTCTAAAGGTTTTGCTTGGGTAGATCTAAAATGGAATATATGGAGTGTAATTTTAGTAGTAATAGACCTAGTGAGGGGATTGTGACTTTGGACGATAAAGTCATTAATAAGAGTACATGTTTTAGATATCTTGGATCTATTATTCAGAATGGTGGTGAAATAGATGGGGATATTATCAGCAGAATTCAAGTTGGATGGTTGAAGTGGAGGAATGCATCGGGCTTTGTTATGTGATAGAAATGTACCCCTCAAACTTAAGGGAAAATTCTATAAGATGGTAGTAAGGCCTTCTATGCTTTATGGTGTTGAATGTTGGCCATTAAAAGAGAAGCATAATACTAAGTTAAGTGTGGAAGAGATGAGGATGCTCAGGTGGATGAGTGGCTTTACCCTTAGAGATAGGATACGAAATGAGCATGAACGTGAAAAGGTTGGAGTAGCTCTAGTAGAAGATAAGATTAGAGAGAGTCGCCTTAGATGGTTTGGTCACATAAAATAGCGGCCTTCCGATGGCCCGGTTAGGAGAGTAGAGGTATTAGATTTGACTTATGTTAAGAAAGGTAGGGGTAGACCTAAAAAGACTTGGTTAGAAAATATTAGGAACGACCTTTCTTTATTAGAATTAAATGAGAATTTGACTTTTAATAGGACATAATGGAGAAAAAGTATTCTTATAGCCAACCCCATGTAGTGGGATAAAGGCTTGATGTTGTTGTTTTTTTGTTGTAATCAAAGGAAGCTAGGTTGTGAAATTCTTATAATTCATAGTGACAACAGTGGAGAATTTGAAAATGAAAAATTTAAAGTTTTTTGTAAGGAGCAAGAGATAGATCACAACTTTTTAGCTCCTAGAACCCCTCAACAAAATGGAGTTGTTGAAAGAAAGAACAAAACTTTGGTACAAGCCACTAAAGCCATGTTGGTTAAATATTCACTTCCTAAATATTTTTGGGCTAAAGTGGTTAATATATCATATTATGTTCTGAATAAGGTGAACATTATATCTAAGTTGAATAAGACACCCTATGAAGTTTTTAAGGGTAGGACTCCCAACCTCTCACATATATATATTTTTGGATGTAAAGTGTTCATTCAAAACAATGGGAAAATTCTTTTAGGAAAATTCAATCCTAAATTTGGTGAGGGAATTTTTCTAAGATATTTAAGTGTTGGCACATCCTGTAGAGTATCTAACTAAATGACTTTGGTTATAAAGGAGGCCACTCATGTAGTTTTTTTATGAATATGATATTTCTAGAGGGTCTAAGCTGGAAGAAGAAGATTTTGAGGAAATATCCATAGAATTAAAAATGTAAATTTTGAAGAAAGGGTTAGAACAAAAAATAAATTTCCTAAAGAAAGGAAATATACTAAAAGTCATCCTAAAGAATTAATTTTAGGAGACCTGAGTGTAGGTGTTAGGACTAAGCATGGACTTAAAAAAGAAGTAATCCATTCAGCATTTATTTCAATGATTGAACCCACTGATTTGTACCAAGCACTTTTCTACAAAAAAAGATCTTTTATTAGAGGAAGTATGGACACCACTCTTTTCATAAAAAAGAGTAGGAGATGACATTCTCATTATTCAAATTTATGTTGATGATATTTTGTTTGGATCCACTAATAAAACTTTTTGTGATAAATTTTTAAATACAATGAGTAAGGAATTTGAAATGAGTTTGATGGGAGACTTGAGTTACTTTCTTGATTTTAGTATAAAGTAGAAAGAGGATGACACCTTTCTTAGTCTATCAAAATTTTTTTGAGGACATCCTTAAAAAGTATGAAATGGATAAAGCTAAACTAATAAGTACTCCCATTAGTTTCCCAGGTTAGTTAGATAAGGAATATAACGATAAATTTGTTGATCAAAACAAATTTAGAGGGATGATTGGATCATTACTTATTTAACTACTAGCAAACTTAATATCATGTTTGGTGTTTGTCTTTGTGCTATTATTCAAGATAATCCAAAAGAATCTCGTGGTTGATAGAAAATGTACTTTTAGAACTTGTTAATTCATTAGGAACTCTTTTAGCTTTCTAGTCTAGAAGAAAATAGAACTCAGTAGCCTTTTCTCCTACTTAAGCAGAATATACAGCCTTAGGAAGTTGTGTGGCACATGTTCTTTTGTTTAAACAACAATATATGGATTTAGGTTTTTCAATTTGTATTGTTCCAACTTTTTGTGATAATACAAATGCCATTTGCATTTCAAAGAATCCAATCCAACACTCTAGGACCAATGATATAGATATAAGGCATAACTTCATTAGAAACCATATCACTAAAGGAAAAATAGAGTTACATCATATAGCTACTAAAAATAAACTTCTTGATATTTTTACAAAATCACTAGTTTTTTAAAACTTTTAGTGCCTTAAGAACTTGAGTGGGTGTTATTGATATTCATGCTTGAAATTATAAGTCTACAAAATAAGATTGTATTCTTTTATTATTGTTTATGATTATATTTTGGTTTCTAGTTTTTAATTTGTTTTGTTTGGTACTTCTTTATTTTGTCTTTGATTTATCTATTTGTTGATTTTGTTTTGCATTAAATGGGTCTTATTTGTTTTAATTTAGAAAAACATCTTGATCATCATGGGCAAATCATAAATTTGTTTTCCATTTGTACTATATGAACCACATTCATACTGTACAAATTCTTTATGTTTTTCATGATTTTTTTTAAAAAATTGGGTAGAGGAGTTTTTAATATATATTTCATGATAATCGTTATGAACACATCATCATATGTATAAATTATCAATCATTCATCAGTACAAACACATGTCAAAATGCTTTACAACAAATTTATTATGATTTAGGGCAGTATTATTAACAACAATCCCAGATGAAATACATGGTCGTATGTACGTACGTGTTATCAATTTGCATAAAGATGAATTTAAACGGCATGTATGATCATTATTGATAAATCAACACGTACGAACACCTGTTCGTCTGTACAATCAGGTTTGGTCAAAAGTCATACAAAATGACTCATCGGAAAGGCAACTCTATGAAAAGATGTTTTGCTGTAATAACTGTTCTTGACCATTTTCATTCATATGTAAAAACTCAAGTTAACTCAAGTTTTTATAGTACAAATTCAATTTCATACGTACGAACTCAATTTCATACTATACACATTAATTTCTATAAATTGGAAGATGTTTTATGAATTTATTCAATCTATCCCACAATCAAACTCTTTCAATCCTTCTTAAATGGCAAGTGACAACAAATGATTACATCCTTCCAAGGGAAGTTCATCTCATTCTGAACGAGATGATAATTTTCTTTCAAGGAAAAATGAATAAGCCTATGATTGGTTTGTTCAAGCTAAGATTACTCATTCTCATCTTCTTATTCAAGAATATATCAATTTTCCAATTATGCCCCTCTTTAACTCTACTCAATTTTCATTCATTCTCACATTGATCTACGCTTTTCATTATTACACCTTTTATTATTTTATGGCCAATTTAAAAATGAGAGAAAATAATTCCATTATGTCCTCGTATGTCTTTGACAAACGTGTTTAAATCATTAAATAGGATTTGGGTACCTTTTTACCTCTTAGAACTAAAGGAATTATTGTTCATTCTATGACTTCAAGAAGTGATTTTGATTGGATTTCTATTAATCAAACTCTTAGGGAACACCTTCAATCTAACACTCAAACTTTAAATCAAAATGCTAGGATTATCCAACATGTTTTAAGAACCTCTATTATTCTTAAAGTTGGTGATTGAGGCTTCGTTTGGGACGGCTTTTTTATTGCTTTTTAAAACGGAGTTTTAGTA